TCTCCAGAATTAGTACCTTTACTTTCAACAGTCTCATAGATTTCAGATTGCCATATACTTGCTTGAGCATGTTGCAATTTATCATGATTCCATTATAACAGTTTAGGCAAAGCATATCACCTATTTTCACATAATCTGACAGAGTTCTGTCAGCTTGACCTTTGGCAATAACATTTTCAGTTACCATTTTACACTTTGCCAATTGCTGTTTTTGGCAAAATGTAATAGTACACTTAGTCATCTTCGCTCCTAAGTAAAGTCTTTCATTTTTGGGATTATTTTGCACGAAAAAGTGCAACGCTCTTCTGAAACTAATTATGAAAAAAAAATTTATTTTTCATAAGCAAAATGTTGAAAAGTTGCAATTTTAAAAAGTACTTTAAACAGTATAAATTAGTTACCCGGGCAATTGATTCAGATCAACCAATCAGACGAAAGTCGTCCTATGATGGGGATGGCAATAACAAAGTACATTAGAATTCTGATGATCATCATCTAATTTGATATCAGTTTTATTGATTCTCTACTTTAAATCATATACATGTATATCGAAAAAACTTAGATTACTGACTCGGATTTTATTAATTTGGTGCCGTTACTGAATGTGAAATTATTTCTTTAAGTATCCCATATTAAAACATTTTTTCATTTGCCAAAAATGGATAATCCGGTCTATCTATCAGTTGATCAATGCGTGGAAAAAAACATAGAATAAAGAATTTTATCGTATATCGTAAAATGAAAGTGTGTCATATGGCCTTGAAGAATAGCAAGAAACCCGTAATATGTATCATTTTTTATCATGATTGTATCGGACATTTGATAGATTTTGCAAGATTAAACTTATGATTTCCAAGCCAATTATTATAAATATAAATATATGTGATTCTTTTTTTAATCTCGTAATCCAAGCTCTTTCGAATATTAATCTATTAATCAAATGTTTCGATCAATTCAAAAACAAATTTTTCCTTTCATTCGTAACACGAATATAAATTTCTTTGCATCAATTAAAAGACAACAGTCGACAATAATTGGTGCATTTGCTCCGTCCGCTACTCGTCAATGGGCGACAGCTCACGATTTTCAAATATTTGAAAATGCAATGGAGCATGAAGCTGAATTACCGTCATTTACTGTCGGCTATAAGAATGGATTTTTGCCTCGACAGGTGGAGATTAAGAAACCTTTTTGATAAAGTATTAAAAGTTCTACATGTAAATGATACTTATCTTTGTAATAGGATCCATTAACTCATCTTCCAGATCGCTTCTTTACGCTTGAATACCTTTTAAAACAAATGCCAATTAAATTACCGGATGGTAATAAAGGATTATTGGCACGAGGAGAACTTGGTGATTCAGTCAAAAAGAATTTACCATTATATGATGTGAGCGACGTAAACGATCAGCGACTACTTTCAGGTATTTGATGCATTTGTTCGTTTAATATCGATATGTATCGGTATTGATTGGTCTCAATTAGCATTATTTCGAGATTACACATTCTTGGCATCTGCATATCTTCTTGAACCATGTGATATAATGTATCGTGAAAAGAAAGATTATGGGCTTGGGCGTCAGGTTTTACCAAAGAATATAGCGGTTCCTTTAAAAACTGTTGCAGATAAAATTGGCGCAAAGCCATTCATGGAATACGCTCTATCGTATAGGTAATTGTAAATACATATAATATAATTTGTCTTCCGATTTTCTTACTAATCTATAAAATCTATTTCTAGTCTCTATAATTATCAAAGAATTGATCCATCGAAACCAATCATCTATCCAAATCTAAATTTAGTTCGATCGTTCGCTGGATCCCAATCAGAACACGGATTTATTCTCGTCCATGTCGCAATGGTTGCTAATTCTGGAAATTTGGTTCGTTGGACAATGGAAACTTTGAATTCAGCCGTGCAACAAGATCGTAATCGATTCAATGTAGCATTAAAGAATCTTAACGAAACTATGGAAGCGATAAATCAAGAAATGGAGACGATGTGGGAACACTCGAATTCTGATGATTATTTAAAGTTTCGTACCTTCATTATGGGATCGAAAAACCAGCCGATGTTTCCAAATGGTAAATTTTAGTTTTTCGATTGAGGATGTTTCTTTTTTGTATCGAAATAGTTTTGATTTAACTCGAATTCTAGGCGTTATTTACGAAGGTGTAAGCGAAGAACCATTATTTTATCGAGGTACTACATGTAAACATAATTGCTTGAGAATAATGAGAGATTAACTTGTAAAGTAACAATTAGGCGAATCTGGAGC